TCGCGCCGCCCTACGGCGCGCCGCCGCCGCCCGGCGCGTACGCGCCGCCGCCGCCGCAGCGGCGGCCCGAGACGCCCGGCCCGGCGCCGCCCGGCGGCCACCGCGCGGCCGCGGCCGACCCGGAGGCCGAGCGGCTCCGCGCGCAGCTCTTCTCGCTCGCGGACCAGCACCTCGCGGAGCTCCACGCGGAGCGCGCCGCGGGCACGACGGCGCTCAACGCGCCCGACGCGGCGCTGCCGCAGATGCTCGCGGCCCAGGCGGACCTGAGCCGCCAGCTCGAGGGCCTGAGGGCCAAGCTCGCGGAGTCGCGCGCGACGTACGACGCCGCGCGCGCGCGGCCGCCGAGCACCGAGGCGCACCACACGCTCGCGGCGACGCAGGAGTACATCGACACGCACCGGCCGGCGCCGCTGCCCTACTGGAAGGCCTACATGAGCGTCGACGCGTCCCTCACCGAGGAGGAGGCGCGCCAGCTCGCCTTCGACGACGTCAAGCACAAGCGCGGCGCCGCCGCGCCCGTCTCCGCCGTCGCCGCGACGACCGCGTCCGCCGCCGCGGGGCCCGACGGCCCGGACGGCGGCGTCGGGGAGGCGAAGGAGGGCTAAGTGCCGGCCTCCAAAGGCATGTTGAATAGAAGTTGAACTTCGTTGATAAAAAAATCAAGGGGATATAAATCTAGATGGGGTGGCAGGCAAAACGCGAGGTCCTCCGACTGCCCGGGGCCGCCACCAGCGTTTTCTTTCTTCTTCCACGCCGCAGCGCGCGGGCTGAGTGCAACGATGGCGGGTCACGCGGCGCGGCGCGGCTGCGGAACCCTTCGACGGGGCGGGGCAGCGAGTTTGGGCTGCTGAGATCATCGCGTTGGCTCGCGAGCGCGACGGTTGTTCGGCGGCGGGACGAGAGGGCGGCGGTGTGAGCCGAGTGTGCGATATTTTCTTGTCCTTAGAGGTTGGAGGCGCCCTATGGGTACCCCCGAAGGGCTCCAGGGCCTCATGACCCACCAATTTTACGATCCCAGAGCCTGCACAGCCCCGGCGCCGACGGTGTCGCGACGCAGTTTCTCGGGCAGCGTGCAGTCGTTCGAGGTCGAGAAATTTTCTTGTCCTGAGATGCTCGAGCCCATCCATAGGTACCAACGAAGGGCTCTGCCGCGCCAGCAGACGGTCCACGACCATCATCATCGCGAACACGTACAAGAGCTGCCCCAAAACTCACTTCCTCGCGTGGCGCCAAACCGGACACGGCGCCCTCCAGCGCGCCTCGGTCTCCTTCCACCGGACCCGAACCGCCCGGACGCGTAAGTCTTGTCGCGGGCGCCTTCGCGGGGGAGCGAATACCGCTGCGGTCCGCCTGGGGCCGCGTCGACGACGGCGGCGTCGAAACATCCCCGGCCAAAAGTCGTCAACATTGCCCCAAAACGATGGGTTGCAGTACGAGGACCTCGCGGGGCATAATCTCGTTGAGCTGCCACCCCATACTTACCCCGGCGAGCGGCGACAAGCGAGCCGATCGGGCGTGATCCTGGGGCCGAGGCGAGAGCGCCTCGAGCAGCAAAAAATCGACGTCCTGCGACGCGCGCCGCGCGCCACCGCGGCTACGCCCCGCGCCGAGGCCCCGCCTAGACCGGGACGACCTATGGATCTATCGGTTTCCCGAAGGAATTGATCTACAACCATCCGCAGACGAAGTTGTTGGACGTTGCCGGGTTCTACTGTTTCGCGGAGGCCGGAGACGGGCGCCGCGCCTGCCAATCGCTGCGCGGTCTCCCCAATTTGCTTTTAAGCTCATCAGTGTCTTAGTGGGCGGCGATCCATCCTCTAAGTCGCGGCGTCACGTGCTCTGGGCGCGCGCGATCGGGTCCAGACCGCCTCGGCGCCGATACGACGCTCGACGGCTGGACCGCGGGCTGGGAACAGTTTCGTGGCGGCTGGGGCCCGTACGGACGCGCCATCTATGTGTCGCATCGGGCCTGGGCGAAAGATCTCGTTTCACTGAAGACCTCCTGGCCCGAAGCGTCGCTCGTACTACTTCGGCCCGCGGACGCGCTTTTCTCGGCCGCGGCGCCACGAGCGGGAATCGGTGTGCGGTCTCCCCAATTGCGCTTTATGATACGTTCCTATCGACCCATGACCGCGTGGCACCTGCGGCGCGCTCGGGGGCGCGTGTTTCAGCGACCTGCCGGGCGAGTTCGCAAGTGGCCCGCAGCAGACGGCTCTGGTTCAGGCCTAAATTGGTAGCCTAAACGTCCCACGACGACGCGGCGTCGCGCGTCGTGTAGTTGCAGGACCCGCCGCGGCATTTTCGATGCGCCGCCGTGGTAGTTCTCGCAGTGTCAAGAGTCAATTTAGGTGAAAATGAGCTATTTTGAGCCCCTGGCGGCGCTCCAAGGCGCTTTCTGCCGCGGTCCAGCCGCTCGCGGCGGCGGCCGGGACCGTCGATGGACGGACAGGTCGCACGAACCTCGACCGAGGCCCGGACGCGGCCGTAAAGGGCGGCGGAGACCATTCGCCAATTCTCGGCCGAGACGCTTTCGGCGACCGTCGGGCACCTTGTGGGCGTCGGAGACGGTGTAGATCGCCGTGCAGGAGCTCTATGATGTCGAACCGCCCGGCGGAACACAGCCACGGTGATCGGTCGACGCGAAACGCTGCGTTTGGTGCCGAATTCATTCGTTTTCGGGCTATTTGAGGCCATTTGGGACCAGATCAACCTCTCGCACGCCGATTTCGCAACCCGGGGCGACTCCGACGCCTTGGCCCGCTCGTAACATTCGGTCTACGCCTTCGACGACAGCCAGCCCACCATCAGCGCCCACAGGCGCACCGCGGCTCGCGTTTTCGGTCGAAGCGTTTCGGCGCACGGCGGACATTCGCGAGTCGTCGAAATTTCGACACGCGACCAAAGATGTGTCGCACCATCGACTCGTACCATCATGGCGAACGTCCGGTTGCAAGAGCGCCGGAGAACTCGTCGATTCGCCGCCGCATGGCTGGACCGCCGGATGACGGCGTTTTGGGCCCACGCCGTAGGGGCGCGCGCGCGTCTTCTCCGGGGCCAAGGAGCTGGTCAGAGACGGCCCATAGGCCACAGACAACAGCGCAAATCGTGCGGGGCCTTCTCCGGGCCGGAAACGCGACGATTGCCTGCCTCCTTATCGATGATCATCGTCCGCCACTGCTCTTTGCGGCTCGCCGCTCCTCGCTCGCCGGCGTAATACTATTTATTACCCCTTGGATAGGACCCCGCACCGGACAAAAGATCCGCTTCCGGCGCTTCGGATTTTGCCCCGGCGCCCGAAAACGGCGTCGGCCAGAGCGTCGTCTTCCCGGCCTGTTCCAAGTATGTTCTCGGGCTCCAACGACGTGGGGCGGCGCCCATAGCAACGCACAGCAAAAAACCGGCGTGGAACAGGGCCGCCAATTAGAACAAACGCCTTACGCGTAAATGCGTCGTCCATTGCGCCATAGGAAAAAAATAGAGACTTTGCGGAGCCGTAACTTTGCGAAATCCAGATCGATTTACACAAACCGAAACTGTTTAATTATCGGGTCGACGCCGGCTATCCATCGCACCAGGCGGTGCCGCCAAATTCGACGATCGTAAATCGGCCGATTTTTGGTGCGGGGTCCTACCCTTGGAGGCAGTTCGGAGCTATGGGCCTGCTTCTGCTCCTGACGATCGCAAGCGCGCGCCGCGCCGCGTGCCTGGGCCCGGTGCCGCCGGCGCGGGGGTTGTCGCTGCTGCGCCTGCGGTCGGGCGGCGGCGAGGCGGCGTCGCCGGCGGGGATCTGGAGCCTGAGCGCCGCGGACCTGCGCATCGCCGGGTCCGCGGCCTGCGGGTCCTACATCCAGGGCTACACGACGGGCGTGCTCGGCGGGTCGCTCCTCTTCCTCGTGCCGCGCTTCGGCCTCTCGCCGCGGGCCGTCGGCGCCGTCGCGACGGCGACGACGCTGGGCTCCGTCGTCGGGACCGCCGCGGCCGCGCGGCTCGCCGACGCCGCGGGCCGGCGGCGGACCATGGCGCTCTCGAGCCTGCTCTTCGTCGCCGCGGGCCTCCTCCTCTGCTGGACGCCCGGCCTCGGCGTGCTCCTCGCCGCGCGGTTCCTCGGGGGCGTCGGCGTCGGCGCGTGCGGCGCCGTGGAGCTCCAGCGCCCGGGGCGCGCGCGCGCCCCCGCCGCCCCCCCGGACCGCGGCGCCGCAGGTCGTGCCCGTCTACGTCGCCGAGTGCGCGTCGCCGGAGAGCCGCGGCGCGCTGAGCACGCTGCGCGGCGCCGGCGCCGCCGCCGCCGCCGCGCGCGGCGCCGACCCGCGGCGCCGGCGCAGGCCCCAGCTCATGATCAGCTCCGGCGCGCTCACGGCGATGATCGCGACGCTCGCGGCCGCGCTCGCGGACGGCGCGGGCCTGCTGCCGCCGCGCGTCGCGCCCTTCCGGGCAGGACGAGGGCGCGACGTTCCCGAATTCAGAGGCTCCTCTCTCGGCCGGTGCTCGCTCGTTTCGGCTGATTTTTGGTCGAGGGATCATCCCTCGGACGGTCTCGAAGCGCGGGCGCTGTTTCCGGAACGCGCGCGCGCGGCACGCCCACGTTGAAGCGACGTCGAATCACCCGCGTCCCGCGCAGGCGCCCTTCCGCCTGACGCTCGGCGCGGCGCTCGTCCGCGCGGACATCACACAGTCGACCCGACGTCAACGTGCGCGCATGCGAAAGGTTCGGCACGAGCGCTTCGGCGCTGCTTCGAGAACTCGACGAGAGCCATCGATTCGTCCAAACATCAGCCGAAGCGACTCGGACGGGGCCGAGCTCGAGCGCTTCGGTCGGGACGTCCCGAACCGGCGGCCGCTTCCCACGCAGGTGCTCGTCCCGTCGCTCGCGTACGCGGGGCTCGTCGGGCGCGCGCCCGGCGCCGCCGCCGCGCGCCGGGGGGCGGCGCCCCGCGCGACGCGCGCGGCCGCAGGCTCCTGCCCGAGTCGCCGCGGTTCCTGCTCCGGCGGCGCCGCGGCGGCGAGGCGCGCGCCGCGCTCCGGGAGCTCCGGGGCGCCGCGCGCGGCGACGCGGAGTTCGGCCCGCTCCGCGACGCCGTCGAGGCCGAGGAGCGGGCCGTCGCGGGCGGCGGCGGCGGCGGCTGGGCGGCGCTCGCGCGCGAGCCGGCGCTCCGGCGGCGCCTCGCGGTGGGCGTGGGCCTCCAGCTCGCGCAGCAGCTCAGCGGCATCAA